GGGGGCAGCAAGATGTCCAAGCAAAGCTGTGACACAGGATGGTCACTGGGACCACTCATTTAATTCGTATTTCTTGACCATTTTACCTTTACCAAGTGTGTTTTCTTCTCCTTTTCTGACAAGACCAGAAGACAATTGATCTTTTTCTTCTCCAGGGAATCCTTTTGACCCTCAGTTTACACTCACTAATGCTGTTTCAAATGTCATATGCTCCCTTATCTTCGGCAATCGGTTTGACTACCAGGATGAGGAGTTCCGAAAATTGCTGAAGCTTCTGCATGAGACGTTTGTCCTCCAAGGAGCCATCACAACCCAGGTACAGCCCTCCTGCCACCACCCCAAAGCTACAGTTTCTTCTCTGGAGTCCCCCTCAGAGCTCAGTATTGTCATCACCAAACCTGTCTTTGCCGATTCCTTTGCACAAGGTAGATTTGCCTGTAATTTCTTTCTGCCTTAGATTCAAGCTGGGTCTTGCATATTGTTCTTCCTCTCACCCAACATCACTTTTCCTGCCCATTGACTGCCAACCTGCCTGCTATAATACCTGGGAAGTCTTTCCTTCATGAGGGATTCCTGCTCTTCTGGAGCTGAGCTATTTCCACCAACTCCAGCACTTCAAACCTCAATTTTGGGTTTTTGAAGGGGTTTTCAGTCCATTATTCAATTTGTCTTTCTCCTTTTGTATCCAAAGCTGTACAACGCTTTCCCATCTATAATGAAGTTCCTCCCTGGAGCACACCAAACCATTTTCAAAAACTCAAAGATCTTGAAAAGCTATATGGAAGAGCAGATCAACAAACACAAGGAGGATTGGAACCCCTCAGAGAGCCGGGACTACATCGACAGCTACCTGCAGGAGATAGCCAAGGTCAGCAATGCAGAGCAAAGCCTTCTGCAGCAGGGCTTAGAAAAGAGGAGGGATGAAAATGAGCCCAGATTCTCCAGCTGAGTTTTGGATGGATGTCAGGCTCCTGGTACCCACCAGTGGGATGGAATGGCAGGGGGTCAGCCACTCCTGCCCAAATCCTTGGCATGGTTTAGACTAGGCTTAGTGTCAGGACAGCCCTCACTGTTCCTGCAGCACTAACACACCTTTTTGTGAAGGACAAGGGCAGTGACACCTTCCGGGAGGAACATCTTATCATGTGCTCACTTGACTTGATGTTCGCTGGAACAGAGACCACCTCTTCAACCCTCCGCTGGGCTCTACTATTCATGGCCTCATATCCTGAAATTCAAGGTACAAGTAGCAAAAGGTCAGTGCTTTCCCTTCCTTTTATCCCTCACAGCTTTGTGAGAGACACTTTTCTTGAGGGACAAGTTGGGAATCTCCCTGCACTCACACAAAACAGGTGCAAACAGGGGCAGGTGTCCCCTTAGGGGATCCTCCCAGCAACAACCTTGTGTTATTCCAAGGGGTTTTATCCTTGGGCCTTGGCTGATTCCTGCTCTTTCCCACCAGCCCGCGTGCAAACCGAGATCGATACCGTCATCGGACAGGCACGGCAGCCAGTGCTGGAGGACAGGAACAACATGCCCTACACCAACGCCGTCATCCATGAGGTGCAGAGGAAAGCCAACATCGTCCCTTTCAATGCTCCAAGAATGGCAGCAAAGGACACGACTCTGAATGGCTTCTTCATCCCAAAGGTAAGCTCATTCCTGAGCACTGGGACCTCAGGGAGACTCCCAGCTCCCCAGGCACGACTCACCAGGCCAGGTCCCTCCTGCACAGACACACTGTCCCTGCCCTGTCCAGAGTTCACTCCTGCTGAATGTGGATTGTTGCCATCCAACCAACCAATATTCTCCAGCTCCCCCAATGGTGCAGAGCCCTACAGGCTGCCACACCCCCCGGGCACAGATCCCAGCTCACAGAGCTCTTACAGGAACTCTGGCCCAAGATTACAGCAGACCAAAGGGATGCTGAGGAGGACAAAACGTGGTTCTATAATCACTGCACTTCCAAAGAAACCCTGGCCCTGCAAGGGTTCTTAAAACAACTAATTGCAGTAGAATTTGACTCTGCGTGTTCTTCCTGGAGAGACTGGAAGATAAATCTGCCCCTCCTGTTTTAAGGGCCACTGCAAGTGTGATCTTTTTTTCTTTTTCTCCTCTTAGGGCACTATTGTGATGACAAATATAACCTCTGTGATGTTTGACAGAAATGAGTGGGAAACCCCTGACACATTTAACCCGGGGCATTTCCTGAAGGACGGGAAGTTCTGGAAAAGGGAATATTTTCTGGCATTTTCTATGGGTAAGATCTGCTGAACTGTGGTGTTTTCATACTGAGGCACCAGGCTTAGGTTTCCAGGTGCCTGGATAGAGAGGGCATATACAGTCAGGAGGTGCCATTCAAACAGTGGCCATGTGATCATTCCAAAGCACCACAACCACTCTCAGAGCCTGCTCTTGTCTCTCCTTTTAAATGTAAAGAAGGGAGATGAGATAAATAAAAAACCGTGATTATTCCAGAGACCCCAAGAACACCTGCACCAGTGCAGAACCATCTCTGTATATGGTTAAAAAGACAAGCCCCTGCAATGTTATGCAATATGGGGGCAGCCTGTGCTGTAATGCCAGTGTCCTCATTGGGAAACACAGGTTGGGCTGCAAAACCCATCCAGTATGGGGTTTGGGTGACAGAAGTTCCAGAAAGAGAGGTGGACCATGGTCCTAAGGGAAGGTAGAATCATTTCCATCATCAAAGGCTCAGTCTGAGGATGCCGTGGGTTGTTGTCTCCACAGGGAAGCGCGCCTGCCTAGGTGAGTTGCTGGCCCGCTCCGAACTCTTCCTCTTCTTCACATCTCTGCTCCAGAAATTCACCTTCC